GCTAGAAATATAATATAAACTGAGAATATAATATTATATTTTTTATATTAAAATTAAATAGTAAAATGGATAAAGATTAAAGTTTTAAAATATGAAATGATGAAAATGCGTTCAATTGACATGTATTTTATAGTCATGCGCGAAGAGTAAATATAGAATCTAAATAAGAGATAAATTAAAAATTATGAAATCAGTGCTATTTCTAATAAATGAAATAAATAAAATTCAAATATAAATAAATAGAATAAGACAAAATGGTAAAATTGATCACTAGCGCCATCTCGTAAGTATGCAAGATATCTTTTCGAAACTAGGATAAGATAGAATAAGAATTAAATGTTATCGCCATCTCTTGAGTATTTTTAGAAAGATGTTTTTAATTTATCTTTATTTTTTTTTTACTATTTGTTTTCCTTGTCTCATATGTTTCATTTAAGTATTCTAAAGGTGGCGCTGATTCCACAATTTTCACATTTTTACTCTATTTCCATCCTTCACTATTTTTTCTTCATATTTGTGCTATAAAATTTATTATTTTACGTTCCAATGTTTAATTAAGTTTATTGTTTTTATTGCTTATTTTATATATATATCAATAAATATCTCGCAATTATTTGCGAATATCTCGGAAATTAAGGTTGATAGTTTGTCACATGTAAAGAAAAAAGTCATTTGATTTTACATATTTAAACATAATCGAAATCGATGAAGACGCAAAGTTTTTTCCTCAAGTTTTTCTTATAATAATTACTTCGATTTTAAATGAAAGGAAAGATGAAAAAAAAAGAAAAAAAATAATCAGTCCTTATAACAAAAATAAAGAAAAGACATATGAATATTATACTCAAAAATAAATTTGAAATATTTTCGATTATTGTAACATTGCAATCAAAAAAAGAAAGAATTCAAAATTGTAACAGATGATATAGAAACAAAAGAAATCGATTATTTAATTATTATATCCCAAAATTGATTTTTCCACGGTTGTTCCATGATTTAATCGAATTCTTGGCGCAAGATGTACGGATATTCGAATCGTTTCAGCGAAGGGTCGTGCGTTTCCATATTCGGTATGGGCGAAAAGAAGGGTTTTGCGCACGGGCAAGTTTCGCCGCTATCAGATCCTTCTGTCGGCGACGTATCCGCGAATTTATTGCTCGACTTCTCGGCAGAGGCGGGAGAGCCACGATCTCCCTTTAGGTATTCCCTTTAGGATAGCGCCTTGTCTGTCAATTCCTCGCTATGGTCAGGACACTTGGTCCCCCTCATCGATTATCTGTCCTCCCTCGAGGTTTCCATGCAACCAGAACACTTCTCTGGACCGCTAACCCGTTTGTACAGAGGAAATGTTCGCAATCTTTTTACCCTTCTCGAATTCTTCGGTAACCTTTTATCTCTTACGATATAATATCCTATGATTGATTTCAATTTTTATAACGATAAACAGACATTCATGGGAAATTTTAATATGCACGTTTTGATAAAAATCTTAAATATTTATAATTATCAATCATCCGTGAATCCGTGAATTAATGCGAATTTAATTTAAGATAAAAGTTTGTTGCACATAATATTATAATTTTGTACATGTTATAATTATGCACGTTCTATAAATATCTTTATATCATTAATGATTCAAGATAAATAAGTAAACGTTTAGGTTAGGTTTTGATACGCGCATCTTATAAATCTAGTTCCTTGTAAAATTTTTCACCCGATACCGGTCCACGATGCGATCCGATCGAAATAATCCAGATCGAAGGTAATTCAATCTAGAGCTGGCTTCGGCCACTCGTTTCCCAGCAATCGTTAACGACGAGTTTACGTATCTGAAACCCGGACGTCTTGACGTTAATAGCATGTTCCAGGGGGGAGGGGTGGGAGGAGAAGGGAGAGGGAAGGGGATCTTGATAAATTTGCGCGCATGCTCTTAATTACTTTGCGCGGATCGTTCGTTATTAAGTGTGCATCAATTATCATCAGCTCGATCGGGTCTCGTGAACGGTGAGAAGATGATAGGT